GGGGCGCCCGCCCCCTGCGCGCCGTCATTGGCTGCCTCGCGCCCCGCCCGGCGCCGAGGTGAGGCGCGGCGCATGCGCGGCCATTGGGGCCGTTACGGCCGTTAGGGCTGCGCGAACTGTCCTTGAGGGATCGGGCTGGTTCCCCGCGCGTTAGCACCGGCGGCAGGAGAGAGCGGGGGTACTCCCGCTGTCAGCGCTGCGAGCCTCTCTGGCGGGGCCGTTAGCAAACGCCAGGGAGCAAACGTTCCTAGGTGAAGTAAAGCTGAAGGCCGGTGTGCTGGGGAACAGCCCCTTTCTGTGTGCTAGTTACCAGCAACTTGTTTTCTTRTCGAAAGTCGGCAACTACCGTCTGTTTTGGTTGTTTTTCTGGGTGTAGAGTGACCTTGAAACACTTGGCCTATTTAAAACCCTTTCAAAGGGGCATGGGTGCATCTGCCAGCTTGTGTTGTACTTTTGTAGTTTAGCTTGTATGTGTGCTTGTGAGCTAAAGGATTTTTATAAAAATCATTTTTTTTCTGTTAGAATGTTTTCTAAGCTTCAAAAAATAAAGAGATATAAGCCAGTAAACACAGGGAATAGGTCAGAATAAACACAGCAAGCAGTATTGTTAGATGTATATCACTTGTCTTCTTCAGATGTCTGCATTGCCAGATTAAATCCCTTGGCTCCAAGCTGCTGAATAAATGATCCTTATTCATCTGGAAATGCAGTGGACTATTCAGACACTCTGTACTGAAATTACTGAATTGTTCCAGTCCATTCTGAACACTGAGACCAGCTCCGTGCAAATGCGGCAAACACATTTCTAACTAAATCAAATACTTTGTTCATTGTCTTCCATTCCATGTATCTTTGTCGGGCACTTCCTCCCAGAAACTCAGTCTATTCGTTGTGTTCTGCGGGGTGGCATCTGGCTGACACAGATGCTGTTTGGCAGCGCAAGCAGCAGTTGTGTGTAGCAGGATGAGATATTTCCTTGACATCCTTTGCACTGGTATGTGCTGTGCAAACAGGGGTGTTTTTTCACAAAGCTTTTGCCCTGAAGTGTTTGTATTTTTGTCGGTGTGACTGTATAAAATAAATGCACTGGATACCAAGCATGTAGCATTAAATACGCAATGTGTTYTGCCATGATTGCTATGCTGTATTTGTATAAAATACTTAAATTTCGTGGGATCCCTGGGTGGCAAAATTGGGTTAATTTCACAGGTAGCTTTGGGGCTTCTGGTTCTTCTCCCTACTTCAACRTGTGTTCTCGCTTTGTGTATTCTACCCAATTCAAATCTCCAGCGGTATAAAAATGTAGATTYGTGAAAGATTAAGAGTTCAATCGAGTGTCAGGTGCTCCTGAGATGCGCCCAACCTGACATCTACTGTAAAACACGTCCTGGGACATGAGCAGGTTTGTCTTCCCTCTCTACTGTGCTGCTCAACGTTTTATTTAGTRACTTTTAAGTTTCCCGAGGTGGGTCCTGGAGCTCAGGAGACCCACGTCTGCTCTGCTGGAAGAGAGCCTTTGACCAGCACAGCTGCAACTCCCTGGCCTCCCTCCGCGGTTGTTTCTGCCTTGCTGCAGGGTCACTGGAAACTCGCAGACTTTATGGGTGTGAATCGCTCTCCTGCACCYGGGCAGTTGTCCGAACCGACCCAGACAAACGTCGTGGTCATTTTCCAAACGCTGAGGGCATCGTGCCCAGAGCGGCCCGTGGCAGACGGGACTTGGCTCCTGTCTGTGCGCTAACCTAAAGCAACTGAAGTGCCTCCARCCCACAGAACTTGGCTTCTGAAACACCAACATAATCACCGAATATACCTGAATTAGGCATCTTTCAAACCCTCGTAAATTGTTTCCTTACAGTGAAAGGGCTGTAATTTAATTAGCATTTGTCTATGTTCACGGTTCTGTTTAAGGCAGCGCCTGGCCCCAGGCCCGGGCAGTTCCTCACGCGGCGGCCCCGCCGCGGCTGCTCCCCCGGCGCCGGTTCCCGGCGCTGCCGCCTCTCTGCGGGCGGGAAGCGGCCGCACGAGCTCCACACGCGGCGGGGCCCGTGGCAGAGCCGTCAAAATAACGATTTTTCTGTCAAAACCATGGAAAGGCTCTGAGAGGGGAGCAGCGGGCGGGTGCGACCGGGTCGCTTCAACGCGCACCGCGCCCGCCCGCTCCGCCATTGCTCCCTCGGGTGGCGCGTGCAGCGCGACACTGCCGGGCGCCCGGCTCTGCCGTAAAGGAGCGCGGCGCGGCGCCCTGGCGGCGCGACACTGCCGGGYGCCCRGCTCTGCCGTAAAGGAGCGCGGSGCGGYGCCCTTGGCGGCCATGGGCAGCAATGGCGCCAACCGGGCCCTGGAGCTGCTGCGGTCGCTGCCCAGGGTCACCCTGGCCAACCTGAGGCCCAGCGAGGGCTCCAGGAAGCGGGTGAGTGTCCGCAGCGCCCGGGCCCGCCGTGCCCTGGCGGGGCCTGGCGCCGAGCGCGGCCCTCGGGGCCGGGGAACGGGCGGGAGGCCGCGCGCAGGCTGCCTGGGGGACTTGAGCTCCATTTCTGTGTGTGTTTGCTTGTTATTAGATCAGACCGCTTTTTCTTGGTTAAGAAASATTAACCAAGTCTTTAACTAACGAACTGTACAAATATAGGTTGCTAGATACACCCCTAATTTTTAGCTTGGCTCCACTGCCCACTTAAAATCCCGTCAGTGTTTCAAAGGCGCCCTGTCTATGGCCGTGTGTTGTCCATGTCCTTGTACTGACCGAAGTCCCCAGGCAACGTAGGGTGAGTACAGGCAGCCGCCCAAAGCGGGTCCGCCTGTGCCTGCAGTGGCCCCCGTGCCCYGTGTGTTGTGTGCTGGTTGCTGCATGCTGAGCTGTTTCAGGGAACCAAACCCATTGAAAACTAATCAGACAAAAATTAGCTTTTATCAGTTTAGTTGCCTGATCTGTCCCATGCAAAGCCACACAACTGCACCCAAGTTGAATGTCTGAATACAGAGACATAGTGTGGGAGTAAGGGATGAGGTAAGTTTTTTTTTTTTTTTTTTTTTTTAAGTGGCAGGGATAGATCAGGCAACTGCACTTGAACTCTGCACTAATTGATTTTAATATAGGTAAGCTGAGCATCTCAAATGAAACAATATGTTTTGACCACGTTAATGTTTTTTTTTTTTTTTTTTTTTTTTTTTTTCCTGGTGTGTATCTGTACAGGCCTTTTTACTGGTCTCTCAGTGCACATTAAGGCCTCTTTGACTTTGGAAGACTGATACAATAACAAGGGTAACAAGGTATTTTGTCCTGGCAGAACAGGGCCATCAAGATAAGTACCGTGATGTTGTGCTCAGTTCCATATCTCCATTTTATTAAAGATTCTGTGCAGCAGTATAACCACATAGAGCAATTTGCAGAATTAGGGCTGCCCAAAGTTTGGTTTTCYGAAAGTTGAATAAAAAAGAATACAGAGAGATTGTAGTCTCTTTGATAGAAACTTATTTGAATTATTAGTGCTGCAGCAGAGACTCTGCTGTGACTTACCCTGCACTAGATGAGGAGCACTAGGAAGACTGTTCACAATATGTTGGGTTGCCTCATTCCCAGTGCGACTGGTTCAAGCTGAGGAACAGAATGGAAGGCAGCCAGTGTGTAGATTGTGCTGTGCAGCTGTGAAGCAGCCAGTGTAGCCCCTTCACGTGTACTTAGACTCCTGTGAATGTCAGTTTAAMCAGGAAAAACTTGGTGGAACCAAATGGACCCCCAGGCCCGTGGGAAGCGCGGTTAGGAGGGTGCGGAGCTGAGCAGGGAGCAGGCGGGATTTGGGAGCGGGTGGGTCCATCTCACCCCTAGCAAAGGAAGGATCAAAGCGAGCCTTGATGCTGCAAAATCTTTAGGAATTGAATAAAATCAGCTTGGACTGYAGGTTTTTGATAATTTTGGTCAAAATGAACTGGCACTTTTGTTATTATAATTTAGRAAAAAAAAAAACCAAAAARCTATCACTCCCAGCCACTCTTTTCCGTTCTTGCCTTGCTGCCTCTTTGTCTCTATGTGATGGTTCAGATATTCATCTTTCAAATGCTGCAATACATTTGTAAAAAATATATGGAAGTACATCTACTTTGGCTTAGCTTTTCCAATCTGCTTCACCTTTCAGCCATGCAAGTGTTTCTGCTGGCACAAGGAAGAGGTGGATGCGAGAGGATTGTTAAACTGCTACTTACTGCTGTAGTGCCGGTTTAAAGTGTTCCTAAAGCTAATAGCTTAATTTCACAGTCTTAATTTAAGCAGCACTAAAAGTTTTAAATGGAATCTGTTCTTYTGATTTGTAGTCAGTAGAAATTACAGTAGTTTCAATTGTGATAGCTGCAGATTTTTGAAAGTCTGAGCCCACCAAAAAAAGTTCATATGTATCTATGACATACGTACTCTGTTCCCTCCAACCTGAGGTATAATTGATTTTTTTTTTTATTGTTAGCATTAAGAGAATTCTTTCTTTCAGCTTTGAACGTCTTACGAAATAGGAGGAACTATCAGTAGTTAATTCAGGAAAATTAACTATTTTGAGAGTAGAGTATTCTTTCTGTCGTAGTTTATGTTCATATTTTTGGTGACAACCTTCCTCAGATTGTGCTCTGCGCAAATTGCAGCAACTGATTTTCTAGCTCTTTTTTCTCTTAGAAAAAAAGCTAGACTTGAATTTTTCCCCAAGAAACAGCGCTCTTCTGATTTATATTCTAAGGTGTTATATTTAATAGACAGCATGCCTGAAGTAGTTGACGGAATGTGTCCTTGCTTCCTTTGAAGGAAAAGCGGCGGGGACGGGGAAGATACGGAGGCAGAAAGTGTGGCCGGGGTCA